TTACCTTTGAATCAATAAAGTAACTGAGCCTAAACCCCCAGAACCCCCCCGCCCGCCCATGGTGGTTGGGGAATTCTGGGAGTTGAAGTCCACATAGCTTAAAGCAGCCAAGGTTGAGAAACACTGCTCCAATGCTTTTAAACTACAAAACTCTGCTTTGTAAAGAACAAAATATATCTCTGAACATTGGCAGAGTGTATTTTTCTTAGTAGTAAAAAAAAATAATAATTCTGTTCATATAATTTGGTAACCATGAGCAGGATGACTAGCAGAAATAGTAGCTTCTAGGAAAGCTAGATACCCACTACCTTTAAAAAAAATGTATTTATTTTGCACCTCAAGTCTAATGACCATCCCTTTTTCCTGGGGACTGTTGGGAAGGTCCTAAAACATGGATATCCCTTGGTCGTTGCAATGGCAAGAGGCAGTCACCCATCAACATCATCCTGAGTGAAGTCTCCCACAACCCCAGTTTGGGTCCCGTGTCTCTGGTTGGTTATGAGAACAGCAAAGAGCTGCGGGAAATCAAGAACACTGGGAAGACAGGTGAGGAGATATGTGTTCTATTTTGAAACCAAAAAGTTTCTAGTCCTCAAGGTAGCAATGGGCGGGGGGAGGGGGGAACTTCCAAACTGCAACAAGGGAACACCTCTGACAGACTTTGTACACTGTGTGTAATCCTTTGGGTTAATTTCCTAGGGAAAAAAGGTTAAGGAAACCTATGTGCTGTGTTTATAGGCTGTTCCTATCACAAACGACTCTGAGTTTCAGATTATTTTGGGATTTGTGTTGGGGTGGGGTAGGGAAGAGGATGGAGGGAGAATTTTAACAGTTGACAGTTTGAGGAAGGAAGGAGAATCTGGGTCAAAATGGATCAGATGCTCTTCAAATGTTGGGTGGTCGTCGTTGGCGGTGGTGGTACGGTTCTTCCGGTTGATCCTGGCTCTTGGTAACTACAGGATCCGATCAACCTGCAGCTTCTGATCCACCTCCTTTAACCGCCACACCAAACTCTCTCTCTAAATGTTAGATTAGAAGTCCCATAATCCCCTAGCTCTAGCTGCATTCGTGCCAGGAATTGCCTTAGTGTGAATTTCTTTGCATTGTTCCTCAAAAATAAGCAATCTTGTCCACCGTGAATGAAATGATGAGTGAGTTTGGAGGAAAGTCGGTGAAGTGGGGAAAAAAAAACCATTCTAAATTCTTGCCAAGAAAACTGTGTGCGTGTGTGCAAGGGGCTGAATTTACGTGAATAAGGCGTGTTTGCCTTATTCAGTGGATTTACTCCTGCATAATTGTGCAAAGGAGTGTTAGTTGGGAAGGGATGC